CCTATTTGTGCAAAGTAAGTGACTTTTAGTCCTATTTTGATGATTAACCTTTTTTTTATATTTTATCTTACTTATATTCTTATGTTATTATTATTATTTTATATTTATTTGTCTTTATCTTATCCGTTTTGTCTTACTTTTTTTTTGTCTTGTTGTATGTTTTCTCTCTTTGACATCAATATCATGAATCGATTCATGTTAGCCGACCCCAAAATTACATGGATGCGTTCGAGAGATTAATCAGTGTTAATAATGTGAGATCTAGCTCAACTCTAGGGATGTGCTCGAGAAATTAGTCGTGAAAAAGAATCGTTAGAATGGTATAATATATATTTGGAGTCAGCATGGGATAGTTCTCCTAAAGAACACCAATCGTCCCAAAGATTTTTATTAAAATTAAAGTACCAATAATGTCTCATATATATATACAACACATGTCTCATTCCGTACCAACTTTCAAAACAATTTAGAACAGTTCTTAAATAATAGAATAACGTAGAATCTGTAAACAATATTCGGGCACCAAATTACTAAAGTTCTATTTTTCTCAAGTGATACGATATAAATGAAAGTAAGAATGCTCATCGTATTTAGAACATGTTCCCACTCCTTCACTTTTTTTTGACAATCCACTCCTTCACTTAATCATTACTTGATATGACTTTTTATTATATTATTATATTCTGTTGAACATGAGTATGACTTCATCATTAGTTACCGCCTTCACCGCCGGGGGACAGAGTCGTTGCCTCTCACCTTCTCCTTTGTCGTCGGATTGGGATCCTCTACCCGACTAGGGGGTGCCTTGCGCAGTGGACGGGAGGGGAGCGGCCAACACGGCCTCGAGATCGGCGAAAAAGTGGAGCCCAAGATCTCCGACCGTTGAATTGTCGATTGGACGACCGGGAGGAAACAAGGCACTCTACCTTACTCTAAAGTAAGGTAGAGGCTCCGGATCCTTTGTCGTCGGCCTTATTCTTCTTCACCGCTGCCAATCGCTTCAAGAGTTGGTAGGGCTTCAAATCGGCAAAGGAAGTACATAAGATCGTTCATCTTCTTCTTCTTCTTCTTCTTCTTCTTCTTCTTCTTCTCTTCAGTGATATATTCACTCTGAGTTGTTGCGGGTCTTCAAATTGGCGACGAGGCAGGTAATGTACAATGATGGTGAATTCTAGGGTTCGAATTTGGGTTGGTAGGGGTTTGGGAAGGGGCAGGGGACGAACGAGGTGGCCAGAAAGTTAGTGGGGTAGATTTTGGGACGGGAGCAAGCGACAGTGATGAGGTTTGGGCTGGGGAGGGGCTTGGAACTGAGGAGGGGGTGGAGAGCTGGGGCCTGGGAATGTGGTCACACTCGGTGGTGGCTGGAGGTGGTGATTGGCAATGATGGCCAGAGGTCTTGGTCAGAGGCGGTCGACAATGGAGGGTGGCGGCGAGTTATCAGGGACTGTGGTTGGCGGTGGTGGGTAGGGGGCGGTGGTGGGTAGGGGCGGTGGATGGCGGTACTCAATATAAGACCTGAACATCGTAAATGGGTGAATCAGTAAGTGTACCTAGATGGGTCAAATAATCGTAAATCATCACGTCTTATAATTGTAACTAGGGAGGGCACAAAATTCATATAAAGCTTTATTTTGAAATATTTAAAAATGAGTCACATTTTTGTCCATACATTTTCGTGTAGTAATATTAATGTCAAAACCTTTTCTTGTAATACTTTCGCTGAACTTTAGATGTAAATCACTCTCACATAATCTTTTTTGTATTTTCCATTCGAAATGACTCATATTAAGAGCCTGTTTGGTGACCTATTTTTTCGGCTTATCAGCCAGGTTTTTCACCAAACACGTAACTTTTAATTTCGCGCGCTGAATTATGGCATAACTAGAATAGTTACTTTTCTGACTGTATGGGCTGAAGTTACTGTAGAAGATCATTTTAGCTATTTTTCATACTCTCTCCCTCCCATTGGACTTTGCCAACTTTCTCATTTTGGTTATCCCAAAAAACTTTGTCACTTTCCTATTAAAGCAACTAATTCGTGGTTCTGCACATTTCTCTCTCCTTTGCAGAAATCTCAACCACACAGTTTTTATCTATTCTTATTTCCCACCAACTTTGCACTTGACAAAGTCCATCGGGACGGAGGTAGTATAATTTTTTATTTTATTTATTAATAACAAATATTTCAAATATAATTTTTTTTATGAATCGGCAAAATCAATCAATACAGCCACTTCAGCCAGAACTTCATAAATTTCAGTAAAATCAGCCAATTTTAGTGTTACCAAACGGGCTCTAATTTAACACTTCACTTTTGACATCCCCTGTGAGTAGGCATGACCTCGGGGCCGGGTCCGGGTCGAGCCTAGGCATGGGCGGGCCGGCGGTTCAGAATTGGTGGACCCGGGACCGGCCCCCGGTAGCCACCGGGTCCGGGCTAGGCCGGGCCTCCCGGTTTGTTTGTGTTTTTTTTTTTTTTTTTGCTTTCCTGACCCCCCCCCCCCCCCAATCCCCCAAACCCCTCCTGACCATCAAGCCCAACCTGGGTGGAACCCCAAAGAATGAAAAAAAATCTCAAATTTGGCCCAGACCCGGGGCCCGACCCGGCCGGGCCAGTTCGCCAAATGTAAGACCTGCCCCCGGACCCCCCCCCCCCCCCGGGCCTAGGCCCGACCCGGACCCGAGAAACCGCACCGGTCCCGGTCCCCGCACAGTAGCGGGCCGGGCCGGGCCGGTCCACAGGCCGGGTGGCCTGACCCGAATCCACCCCTACCTGTGAGGAAGATACTCGAAATTTAGCCCTCCCGTCTAGTTTGAAATGCCAATTTCCAAGGCTCCAAACTATAAGAGGAACCCCGAACTATATTCGTAAATCGTAATTAAGAGGAACCCAGTCAACCAGGAAACCCGTCTTTCTGAATTGCTAACCTTTCAAAAGGTTATGGTTCCAATTCTGTGTGGGTTTTATTTTATGAAGGAACTACTTTCATCCATTTTATATTGAAAGCGTCAGACTCCTTGCCACCTTGGCAAGAAATTAACTATGTGTGATAACATGACCCCTAAAGGCCCTAAAGGGCCTAAATGATTAGTTAATGTGTCAACGAAGCAAAGGCTAAAGGTAAATTTGTAGATTGAAATGAAAAAATGTCAAAATACTTATTTTACAAAAAGTACTTGTCTAAGGAAACATTACTTTCAATTTAAGGCCCCTTTTCAAAATATGAATCATATGTAGCAGAGTTTGAAGCACCAAACTTCTTGCTAATATATAAATTAGGCGCATTTGCCTCATGATTTAAAAATGCGTGAATAGTGCTGGACTCGGTTCGGGCCGGGCCCGGTTCGGGCCTTGAACCGGCCGGGCCTCGGTTCACCAAAAGGAGGGCCCGGGCCCGAACCGGCAGGTGACCGGTTCCGGGCCGGTTCCGGGCCAGACCGGGCCGGTTCCGGGCCAGACCGGAGCCGGTTCCGGGCCGGTTCACCCGCCCCCTTTTTTTTTTGATTTTTTGGGCTTCTCTTATTTAACCCCCTACCCCTCCCCCTCAACCCCAAACCACCCCAAACCACCTCAAATGGCCCAAAATACCTAATCCAACCCAAAAATTAAAAAAATTTCAAAAAAAAATTTTAAAAAAAATTATTCCGGCCCGGACCGGGCCCGAACCGGCCGGGCCGGTTCACCAAATAGAGGGCCCGGAACCGGTATCCACCGGGCCGGTTCGGCCCGAACCGCCGGTGGACCGGGCCACCGGGCCGGGCCGGTTCACACAGTAACCGGGCCGGGCCGGTTCCGGTTCGGGCCGCCCGGCCCGAGTCCAGCACTATGTGTGAAGTCCCATTGTATTATAATTATTCATCCGCAAAATCTCCTTTATGAAGAAACTTAATTGAAAATTTTACTTACATATTTAATCATAATATTGAGACGAGTGATTCCCTAATTGTTAAATTTGTTTTTTAGAGGGGTTTTTATGTATGAATAATTATAACACAAAGGGTTTGATGCATCAAAACTCCTTTGTAACAACATTGCATATTTGAGTTTATGATATTTCATGGCTCGAAATGCATTGCATTTTACATTTGAGCATGTGAACTACTTTTGTCTTTGGGTAATAACATGCATGTACATGAAAAAGAGCAAAAACACAAACATAATAAGCACAAACACGCGCGTGCACGCCCACGCCCACCCACACCCCCCACGTACACGCCCACGCCCCCACACCCCCACGCACCGCGCCACGCGCACGCGCGCACACACACGAAAGAACATGCATAATTATATCCCTGTAATTTTATATACAAGTGTTTCCCCACACTTGTATCCTATATATTTTCTAATCTTACATATCTTACCTCACAACAACCAGTATGACAAAAGGGTCTTGGCAGTATTAGTAGGGTCTGGTCCCAATATAAGCAGGTCACCCTTAGTTAGACAAAAACGGGTGAATAATGCTGAGTTAGAATCCAACAAACTCTCCATTAATGTAAATAAATCAAAATGGAAAATTAACACCACTCTTTTAGTAACACTATCAAAAGACCCTTAGTTAGACAAAAACTGGTGAATAATGCTGAATTAGAATCCAACAAACTCTCAATTAATGTAAATAGATGGAATGGAAGATTAGCACCACTCTTTTAGTAACACTGTCAAAAGACTCTTTTAGACAAAATTACCTAGTATTCCTTCAATCTAATGTTAAAATCAAATAGTTATAAATAGAATCATAATCAATTTTTCAGAAGCTAGTTTTCCCCTATCTTTTCAAAAACTGCTTCTAGCACAAATTTAGAGAAGTGTTTTGAGAAGCAAATCTAAACACCCCTAAAAGAAAGAGAGAATAGGAAAGCCTTACATCTCACACAAACTATGCTTAAAAAGAGATCAAGATATCACAAAAACTGTCAAACATTGTTTTTCTTTTCAAACCCTGGATTCCGGTCTATTCAAGAAAAGCATGAATCTTAAGGATGAATTTAAGGAAAGATTAATAGAATGCGAAGACGTAAAATAAATCACTGGCTAAGTGCAAAATACTCATTCCCATGCAATAAGTAGTATATACTTCCTACAAAGAATAATACAATACAATGGTACCCTTATCTCAAAGAGTATTGTAACGTGTATAATTAAATGAAACGAATAATAAGGAAGAATCAATCTCCTAAATTACAGAAACAATTAATTCAACTCATTTACAGCAGCATTTGCAACACAGGATTAGCAAAATGATCACAAAAACGAGGGAGGAGAGTGCAATTGCAAAAGCAAGAAAAACCTTACTTGGGCCGTGGCTTCGGTGACGAGGTTCATCTTCGTCGTCGTCATCATTCCCATCATTGTAATCTCCATCACTAGTATCACTAGCAACTGATCCCGGAGGGGACATAGGCAACCCATGCTTGTCACAAGGAGAGATCCCGAGCTTCAGCTTTGTAGACGACAATGCCGCACTGTGGTTGTAACAAAGGTTGGAATTCTCACCGACCTTAAGCACATATAATCTATTCATGAAGGAGGCATTAAAGGGCAGAACCCCATGAAAGTTGTTCTTCTCAAGATTCAAGTATTTTAAGCCCTTCATATCCGAGATGAACTTGGGGATAGTCCCATTGAGCTGGTTAGAGCCGAGATCAAGGTGAACAAGTTCGGGAATTGCAGCGAAGGAGGCCGGGATGGGACCGGATAGTGAGTTTGAAGATAAAGACACGTTCTTCAGAGAGGTCAAGTCCCCGAATGAAGTGGGGATCGTTCCGTTGAGTGAATTTGAGGAGAGATCCAAAAATGTAAGGTTTTCGAGCTGCGTCAGGGATGCTGGTATTCTTCCCTTGAGGCTATTTCCGGACAGATCAACGTGATTGAGGTTAGGGTTCCAATGCTTGGGAAGAAGCCCGGTGAGGTTGGCTTGGGAAATCGTGACCGATTTTAAGTTTTTGAGGGCATTGAGGATGACGAAAGGACCGCTGGCCTTGACGGGAACCCGGCAGACGGTTAAGTTGGTGAGATTCTGGAGGCGGCCGAGCCAGACTCCGGTTAGCTTCCGGAGGCTATTAAAGGCGGTGAAAGAGAGGAGGTTGTCAGCGAGGTCGGAGGGGAGGCGGGTTGGAGGAGACACGTCACAGTTGATGAACTCCAAATCCTTGAGAGTGGCCAGAGATTTCAGGGCAGTGAGGGACAAGGTCACGTCATCTGAGCAATTCGAGAGCTTGAGCGAGACCAGGTGGCGGAAGGGGTCGGATCCGTCGCAGACGGTGGTGGAGTTGTGGAGAGGTGAGCAGGGATCCTTGGTGGTGGGGAGGTTCAGTGATTGGAGAGCTCTGAGCTGCTTCGGGTCAAGGCTGGAAGAAGAAGAAGAAGAAGAAGGGGGTAACTTTGGGGCTGGGGTCTTAGCAGAGGGTGCTTTAGTAGGAGCAATGGTGGAGGCCCCAGGAGGAAATACAAGGAAGATAATGAGAGAGACGGAGATAAGAAGGTGTTGAGGAGCCATCGGAGCCGGCAGTGGGCTTCGGTAGAAGAGCAAAGAAGAAGAAGAAGAGCTTAATGAAGCTATGGTGGTGGATCGGGTTAGATGACACTGGGAAAATGTTTCGCAGCTGAGCTGCAACTTTTGATCGCCTTTCATTTCATTAATTAAAAATCAAAAGAGCATGGCTGGAAAACCCCGACCCGAAGCCCTACCTGAACAATCCAATCTATGCAATTGGTCCGAATTTTGTTTGACTTTTCACGTTCCGGATTAAATACTAATTACTGTCTTTAGTTCCTGTCCGAAATTTAAAATGTGGTGTCTACATGAATTGGGTGGTGGTGGTTGTTGTGGTGGTGGTTGTTGTAATAGTGGTAATAATAATAATATTAATAATAATAAATATAATAATAATAATAATAAGGAAAAATTGACAAAAATAATCTCACTTTTCGCTGGTCTTCTCGTAATAATCTCACCTTTAGATAATTCCAAAATAATCCCACCTTTGCACCCCATTTTCTTTCATTGGACCTTGACCATGTTTTTTACTCTTTTTTTGAAAATCATATAAATAATCTCACCTTTCACTTTTCTATTATATCTTTATAAATGTGAGATTATTTATATAAGATTTTCAAATAAAGGTAAAAAACTTGGTCAGGGTCCAATGAAAGAAGATGAGGTGCAAATGCGAGATTATTTTGGGATTATGTAAAGGTAGGATTATTATGAGAAGACCAGTGAAAAGTGAGATTATTCTTGTCAATTTTTCCTAATAATAATAATAACTCTATCATAATAATATTAAGAGAAAAAAGGGTCAAACAAGGTCTTCTACTATTATGAAATCGTCACATAAGGTCATGTACTCAATAAAGTGTCATATAAATACATCTACATATAAAAAGCAATCGGATGAGTCCTAATGATCATTGACAACCTCTTAATCACGACTTTAGCTCACATGTCGTTATATTTATCTTGTATTTAAGTTAATCATAAACTAAATATTTCACGTCAATCATATAATCTATTTTAAAAAGACAGTAGACATATGCTAAAATCGGGATTATGAGGTTGTCAAAAGGTCATTTTGACTCATTCGATTGCTTTTTATAAGTAGACGTATTTATATGACACTTTATTGAGTACATGACCTTATGTGACGAATTCATAATAGTAGAAGGCCTTATTTGACCCTTTTCTCTAATATTAATAATAATTTTATCACTAATAATAATAGTTATAATAAGAATAAATATTTGTAACTTTAAGCATATAAAGTAATAAGGTGTGAATCTATAATAACTATAGCAGCTAAGTGTCATTTAGTGACTGTCTTTATGTTATGATTTTTTCATTTAAATGACCATGATGTTTATGGGATTTTGACATAAATATTATTCAAAATTGACAACGGGTAAAAAAGAGACCTCTTTTTTTAATTTCCAAAAATGTGACTAATAAACACCTATTTTTTCAAATTACCCTTAAGGCTCTTAACCGCTTCTCAATTGCGAATCCTACAACTCTGTTGACTGAGCAAGACTAAGTCCATATCCCTAAGGAGGTGTTTATTTCGTTGCTAAAATCACATTTAGGTTAGCAAGACATGAGATGAAAACATGCACGCTGCTTAAAAAACTGCTTAGTAACCGAAAGAGGTGCTTAAAGTGTCGCTTACTAAGTATACCACCCCTCATGTATTAATTAAGCGGCACTATAAGCTTTTTCAGTTTCTGAATTTGCCCCTTGCAATTACCTTATTGTTACCCTTCTAAACGCTACCTCACTCGGCCCAACCCTACTACCCCGACCTGACCCCACCCTACCCACTACCTCCATCCTCGTACTTTACCCTTACCCATACCCTACCCTCGACCATTACCCCACTTCCCACATGTACCCCTTTTCCCTACAACGATCCTACCCCGCCCCCTACCACATGCCCTCACCTCAACCCCACCCCGAACCATAGCTACCGCCACCCCTACCAACTTGACCCCACCCAACCACCCTACCCTGCCCCCTACCTCGGCCCCACCCCGATCTCGACCCACCCTATCGCCATCTACCCCTACCCCTACCCTACCCTACCCTACCTTACCCTGACCCCAACCCCACCCCACCATGAAGCCGTAATCGCCGGCCCTACCACATGCCCCCTACCTCGGTCCCACCCCGATCCCGACCCTACTGCCACCCTACCCTACCCCGACCCACCCTACCCTACCCCCTTAGCCTTACCCCGACCCCACCCTACCCACCATCTCCCAATCCCTTACCACCCTACCCCACCCACCCCTATCATACCCCTCACCTGTTAGAACTATTTTATTGTGAATCAAGTTTGTCTGTTATGTCTTGTTTATTTAATAGATTAGGTATACCATTTATGGTATTATTAATTATGTAATAAATAGGTTGTAAGGGATAAGGCCCAAAAAGGCTTTAGGCCCAAACTCCTAGGTTACCACTTTAGGTACCTGCACTGCGCCTATAAATATGCGCGTTAGTGTACGGTCTAAAGTTCGATCAATACATTCTCTAGCCTTACGCTGTCAAAACAGTTCTCGATATAATAGAAAGAAGAATTTCTCTGTTCTCGATATTGTCTTATCATTATTAGATCTTCCTTTTCTCTGTTTATCGATGAATACCATCTAGCTGAGTGTTAATCTACAGAAATCAGGGACCAACAACTGGTATCAGAGCCTGCTCGAGTATTGATCAGTCGCGAAGAAGTTTTTCGAAGTTCTCTGCTTTTATACTTTTCGATATTACTCTTTTTTAATCCTTGTAATCGTGTTTCTGATCGATAAACTGTAAAAGTTATACCATCGGATTCGCCAGTAAAAAACGAACCAAGAGTATATCTTATTTTTCGATTTCAGTAAACTTGAATTTTTAGAGTTCTCGATAGTATGATGTCGAAAAGCAGAGTTCTCGGCATTTAAGCAGGTTTTTCAAGCTGAAAGCTACTCTGGAAAGATCTCGAGATTCAGGACTTTACAGAATAGCTGTTTTATCGGTTTAAAACTGAGTTTTCAATTTGCAGGATTTCGATACTGACTTCTCGACATAAGTTCTCGAACTGAGTTCTCGAGCTTTTGTTCTCGATACTCAGTTTTCGATATTCATATCTCGATACCTTGTTTTCGACATTACAGGTTCTCGATAGATCTTCTCGACAGTCAAGTTCTCGAAACCAAAGTTCTCGAACTGAGGTTTTCAATACTGGCTTTTTGATAGATACTTCTCGAACCTAGCTTCTCGATAGCAGGGTTTTCGATATCAGATATCGAAAACTGCTTCTCGATAGAGGTTTTCGAACTTTTTTCTCAAACTTATTCCTGAAATTTAGGTTTTCGACATTCTACTTTTGAAAATTTAATTTTATCTGATCAAAACACTCGAACGGTCAACTTTTAAAGTTAAACAGCAAATATGGAAGCCTTAGCACTTGGAAATGACAACAGACTGCCAATTCTGAGAAGAGGAGAATATCAGATGTGGAAGACAAGATTTTTGAACTTTCTGGAAGGAAAAGACAATTCGTCTGCCATGCTTGAATCACTCACTCAAGGACCAGTAGAGATTTGGGTAGATGTGACTGGAAATGATGGAAACAACCCTCCTGTCATCCTTGAAAGAAGATTGAAGACAAAGTCTGAATATACTGAGGAAGACAAGCTAAGAATCAAGGCAGACCTGATGGGCAAGACGTACCTGCTCCAAGCTATTCCAAATGATTGATGGACAGTGTACCCGGGGGTAGCTTATCCGAGGGGTTATTGCAGGAATAACCTAGAAAGAAGTCAGAGCAAACAAGTAGGAGAGAGAGGCGATTATATTTATGAACTCGAGATGTTCTGGTCCTTACAATGGGAAAAAGGGGGTGCTATTTTTTTTTTTTTTAACCCGGAAGGCAAACCACCAAAATCAGTGGGGCAAGTGCCGGGGGTCAGTTGCCGATATTTTATTAAAATGATGGATATTACAGAAAGAGAGGGGGACTAGACCAAAACCTCCCTACAAAGTCATACATCAGAAATTTAAAACTGGAAAGAGAAACAATAATTAAGAAACGCGGAGGTAACTTAAACCCAATTTATCCGTCAACAATGAGCATCGAATGTGACCTGGCAGTTGTCTAGTGTGGTAATAGATATGCAAATCATCCAAATTGAGCTTAGATAAATAATGTGCTGGCCAGTTACTTTCTCTGAAAATACAAATGAAGACAATACGACTTTCCCCCATCCATCTTCTGATGTCTTCAACTATTCTTCTTCCCCAACCTTCAATTCCCGTTCCACAAATCGCATCCACAACCAGCTTGGAGTCAGATTCAACCTCAAAATCATAATATCCTTGCTTAATCGCCCAGGAAACCGAGAAATAAACCGCCTGAAGTTCCGCATCTGAGGCCGATTGTGCAGACAAAGGAAAATAAACTGCTGTACTAATACAATTTTAATATTCCAACTTGGTATCAGTAGTTTTTTCTTCCTCTCTAATGGCTACCACCAAAGCTTCCGCCTTTCACCCCGCCCTAGCTATCTCAAACATTAAAAATTTTATTCCTATTACCCTCGACATCGAGAACGTTGAATACTCTTCATGGGCGGAGTTGTTTAAAATCACCGCCCGCGCGTATCAAGTTCTCGACCATATCATCCCTACTGTTGATTCTACTGCAGCCAGTTCCTCTACTTCTACTACTGAACTCACTCCCGCAGAGCTTCTCGCTCAAGCCACTGCCAAGGCAGAGGCAGCTGCTCTATGGACCCGTTTGGACGCCATAGTTCTTCAGTGGATCTACGGTACAATATCTCATGACTTACTCCACACCATTATTGAACCGGACGCCACTGCGCAGGAAGCTTGGGATCGCCTCACTGATATTTTCCTTGACAATAAACATTCTCGGGCTGTGCATTTGGAAAATTTGTTTTCCAACACCCGTTTGGAAAATTTTCCCAATGTTGCAGCGTATTGTCGTACTCTCAAAACCCTGGCTAATCAGCTACATAATGTTGGTGCCACGGTTTCCCCCGACCGCCTTGTTCTCCGCCTAGTCAACGGTCTTCCCGCTCAGTACGACACCATCGCGTCCATGATTCAACAGGCCACACCTCTTCCTACCTTCCAAACTGCCCGGTCCATGCTCCTGCTTGATGAAACCCGTAAGGCACACCAACTTGGCACTTCCTCGGCCAGTGCACTACTCCATGGTGC